CCTTGTTAATTAATCAACACAAATATGCATTAGTATTAAATTTCTTGATTTTTTTGGGTTGTATGGTCAGGAAACGTGATCTCGTTCGGCTTGTTCTGCGCTCCAATGTAAGACACATTAGATTTTTTTGTGTTTGTTTTTGCATGATGTTAAATCAATGCATGCAATGATATTTTGTATGTGAAAATTGTGTAGACCAACGATGGTGAAGATATGGAAGATGAAATCGGTGTCGGAATTTAAGCCAGATCCATATGTAGCTACGGTTTTAAACTGCATGATATGGACTTTTTACGGACTCCCTTTTGTCCATCCCGACAGTCTCCTCGTCATCACCATTAATGGAACTGGTCTTTTCATGGAACTCGTTTATGTTACCATCTTCTTCATCTTCGCTTCCGCATCTGTCCGCGTAAGCTTTTTAATCCCCCAATATAAACATGCATGCACGATCATGTTTTTTTTTTATCAACCATAAAGTTCTGAACCTTAGACCCATAATCAGCTTAGCCAGTCTCATATTGAACTCGTGATCTTGAAAATGCTCCCAATTGGATCTGTATTATAATGTTTTTTTATTTATATAATGTTTGCATAGAAGTTCTCTAAGATAGATTTGATATGGTTTATGATGATGTGTATTTGATTTTTATACAGAGAAAGATTACAATAGCTATGGTGATCGAGGTGATATTCATGGCGTTGGTGATCTTCTGCACATTGTACTTTTTGCATACAACAAAACAAAGATCTATGCTTATTGGGATCTTGTGCATTGTTTTTAACGTCATCATGTATGCTGCTCCTTTAACCGTCATGGTACGTTTCTCGTTTTCATTTCTCTCTAATATTATAATTTGGTATCCAAATCAAAGAGACAAACTCTTTCTGATTTTCGACTCATTGTGTACATCGATTGAATTTATCTCGAAATTTTGTAACCGTTGCATGAATCGGAGGCTAGCTAGACTAATCACGGGCATGCAAAATTGGATTCTACCAACTTTTTTGTTGTTCTTTTTGTCTTGTGAACTAACATTTAATGGTTTTAACTTTTAATTAATGTTGAACAGAAACTTGTGATAAAGACAAAGAGCGTGAAGTACATGCCGTTCTTCCTATCATTAGCCAACTTCATGAACGGTGTCGTTTGGGTCATTTACGCATGTCTTCAATTCGACCCCTATATTTTGGTAAAGTTCCATTTTAACCCCCATATCTTACAACTCAATCCATACAAAACACAAGGCTAATCAATTGATTTGTTTGATGATTACAGATTCCAAATGGTCTTGGATCACTATCAGGAATAATCCAACTTATATTATACGCTACTTATTATAAAACAACTAACTGGAACGATGAAGACGACGACAAAGAAAAGCGCTATTCGAATGCTGAAATCGAACTTGGCAAAGCTTGAGAATTTGCAGCTTATGAGTCGCACTTTTACCATTTTATTTTCATTACTTACCAAAGTATCGTCGTCGACTGATAATTACCAGCTTCATCGTTAGATTAAGATAGAATCAGAAGAGATTGCCTATGAAAAAGAAGAAGAGGAAACCCTGAAAAAGTTATCAAAACTTTCTTGAGTAGGAAGAAAGAAAAGGGTTTCACTTTTTTTTTTTTTTGAAATGATTAATAACTATGGCAACTTCAATCTATGTAATTTTTTAATTTATAGTTTTAATCAAAGTTTATTAGACTATTTTAAGAACATGTTCTTCGAAACTGTAAGGATTAAAAAATAAACAAATTACCATTGATGTTTAAGAACAGAGTAATAAACAGAGGTTCTTCTCGTCTTGTTTTGATTATGGCCGGTTAAGGATATAATTAACCGTGTCAATTCCAGAAGGGGTAAAATTGTCATTCGCTCCCGAGTCTAAATGTGGTTTGGAAATTTCCGGTTTATTCGATTCGATTTTTAGAGACGAAACCAATGATCTAAACCGGAATGAGTGATTACAATTGTGGTTTTGTTTCCCTTAAAGCACGGAGGACCAGAGATTCTATTTGAGATGACGACCGGATTATGTTATCATCATCATCACCGGCGGCCACCGCCGCACATCCTCCTCCTCCGTCGCCGGAAACAAACCAAATCCCTCTGAATTTACTTTCCTCGCCGCAGATTAACCGCCGATACCTTTTCAAAGCTCTCTCGTTATGTCTCGCGGCACCGTCACTCTCCTTCTCCACCGTCGCACCAGCTTACCCACGCGGTCTCTTTCAAATGCCGCCTCTCCGGCTATCTAATCGGTATTCCATTTTTCGAAACCCTAATTTCAGTTTTCTTCATTTTAGTTTGGATACTTAATGAATTGGAATATTTAATTAGCCTTTGTGTCGTGAGGACTAGTTCTTGTTCTTGTTCTTGATTTGTGTCCGGAGAAGATTCGTGAGCAATAACCGGAGTAAATTGATTCGGTTATCTCAGTTTGAGCTAATACAATGTGTGTTTGGTTGTTTTCTTGAGTCAAGTTATTACCTTGTGAGAGCTGGAGAATCGGATTACGAAAGCTTGGGGATAATCAACACAAACCCGGTTGCTAAAACATCGGTAGATAGCGGATTATCTGAGAAAGGTAAGAAACAGACAGTGAGAGCTGCGTTACAGTTAAAGGCAATGGGAGCTTGTGACCGAAACTGTTGGCTCTGGCCTTCCATTACACAGAGAGCTTATCAGGCTGCCGAAATCATCGCCTCCATTAACGGAATTAGTCGCAGGTAAAATGATCTCTTTGTGAGATAATAATGGTGATGGTACCTTTAATGGTTGATGTTTACTTGGTTTTCAAACAGCTATATAGTTCCAGAGTATAGCTTTCTTGATGCTCGTGGTTTAGGAGCCTACGAAGGCAAGAAGCTAGATTCCATATCAGAAGTAAGATTTTTAACATGTAAAAATGACTCCATAAGAAACAAAAAACAAAAATCAGGTTGAAGTATATAATGCGGATATTTTGTTTTGCAGGTGTATGCATTAGACTCGATATCCATGAAGACAAAACCTCCTCCTATAAGCGACGGTACGCCCAACGAGAGCGTCTCGGATGTATTCGTGCGTGTGACGCAGCTCATGTCCATTCTCGAGACTCAGTACTCAGAGGACACAATTGTCATTGTTTCGCCTGATTCAGACAACTTATCTGTGTTACAAGCTGGTATTCAAGGCCTTGATCTTCGAAGGTAAATAACTTTGACAACGAATTGCGAAACTCGAGCTTAAGTTTTCATTGAGAGAGATGATTGTTTTTTTTGGCAGGCACTCGGAGTTGTATTTTGGACCAGGAGAAGTAAGATTGTTAGATGCAAACAGCATTCCTGTGTATAAGCAACCTGCTTCTGGTGTATATAAATGTACAAACCCACCAAACTGTGACTAATTTCAATATTTACTATTGTGATTTAAACATGATTTTGAAGCGTAATTTTTATGATTTTCTTGGAACAAAAAAAAAATTGATAGTATTTATTTTTTGTCATTCCAACTTTTTTTAAAACTTGGCTCAATTTCATTTGATAACTTTTAGTATATACGATTTTACCAAAAATATGAAACAGAGGAAATTAGATAGATGACTCTCTCTACCTAACAATTTAACAAAACATTCACGAAACCTTCTTTTTTGATCCCCGAAGCTTCTACTTCTTTCTATTTTCTTCCCCACAACTACAACTTTTACTAAATATCCCACCTCTCTCTCCTCTTCAAGAACAAAACCCATTTCTCTCTCTCATGAGCAGCCTAAACCATACCAGCTAAAGGATTCGAATTTTGCTTCCCTTTTGATAATTTATCCTCTCTCTCTATCTCTCATGGCGATGAGAGGTGTTGATTTCAAGTGGTTAGTTCTTAATTTCAGCTGTAGCAGATTATCAATTTCGATCATATATGTTTTTTTTTTATCGATCATATATGTATATCTCCATTTTATTATTATTAACTTCAG